ATCGTCATATTTAAGTAAATTTATATAAAACCTCAACAACCCATAAACACACCCCTTGGAACGAGCTCTTTCATCTGAGCTTTCGCCAACTTAAATTAGTTGAGTTGGAGGGAATTCAGCTTCAAAATTATGCTTCTAAGCAAAGAGTCTTTTCTCTTGCTAGAATAAAAACTTTTTAGGAGGATATTGTGTCGACTTTTTTGGGTGGGACAATTTTTAGCAAATCTTCATTAGGTGCTTTTAATTTTCTTCAGAACTTACTCCCGTTTTCGTAGGATAGGTTAGGTTTTTGGCTCAGTTAATAAGGCTCAATGCCATCGACAGATGAATCTTTCAAATTTTATATAGCTATAGAGAATATCATGACTCTCATAAAAAATAAAAACATTTAGATCCGAGTCATTTAAGTACAAGTAAGACATACAAAGGTAGTCAAGCGTATATTTTTGTTATTTTTTCCTCAGGGAAGGAAAAATACATGTTTTTCTTTCCTTGACTGGTCTAAAAATAGATATGTGTGTAATACTAGCGAACATTATACGTAGGTAACTCCTTTAGATTTTAGTAGTGCCTCCGTTAAGTTTAAGATATTTGAAGCGTTGGCAAGGTTTAGAATAAAGACGGAAATGTAGAAATTAATGAATTATGTAACATTTAACATGACTAAGCCGGTGGATCAGCAAGCTGAAGTGGCAGTGGGCTGGCCATATTAGCAGCAGAACCGACAACCGTTGGGGAAAAAGAGTTCTTGAGTGGAGACCGCGTCTCGGCTAACGTAGTGTAGGGCGCCCATAGGCCAGGTGGAGTGACGATTTGCGCAAGATGGCTGGCAGGAGCTGGATGCGAGAAGCCCAAAATTGATCTAAGTGGCGTGCAATGGGAGAGGCCTATGTAAAGCAATGGACTGCGATAGGCTGATAATAAAGTCCGTAACGGGTCTATACTGGTGGATACGTTACAGGTCTGCGCAGACGAGGGTCTTTTGTCTGTAGAGGACAAAAATTACAGAATCGTGAATAAATTTTCCGCTAAGAACTTACCACGGACACAACGCATACGGCATGCGATTTATTTGTACGCTACACATACGCTTAACGCGGACTAAACATCGCCATAGTCACTTTTGTTCTATTTTTTTCGGGAACTCCCCTGTACTTTTATCAAGTCCTGTCTATCGATGTCCACGTTTGTTAGAGACACTGTTCGTACGCGGCACTTTGAATCTGTTGTGTGCAACGAAGCGAAAATTCCCCTCTGTCCACTCAATTTCATTGAAAAGATCCATGACAGATTTTTGTGCACTTTAATACAATCAATAGATTTTTACGAGGTATGGATCTTTTAGGAAATACTAGATTCGAAAAATCTATTATAGGTTAGTGGTATACGAGGCACTTTTCTTTCACTTTCTATTGTAATTTTATTAACAGTACAGAAAAAATTGAATCGATAAGGAAAAAAAAAAATTGTCATCATTTAGTTTTTTCATCAATTTTTTTACCCTCTACTTCCATTCAAATATGAAGAAAAAATACCAATCCTAGTTTCGAAAAATTAAGTAATGTGGAAAACAATTTAATAACCCTCGTATACAGAACACAGTTGTTCCAAGGTTGCTGCTTATTACCAGTAGTATTTAATACAGCTATAAAAATATTAATAGATAATATCGTAAGACACGAAAAGAGGTGGGGCTACCGGTTTAAGGTCAATGGAAAATTTACTTAATCCTTAGCATTCGCAACGACATCGCGATTCTCACACGTAACCCGAAGCAGTGCCAAGAACTAATGCGTAAGGTGGATGAATTCTGTACCTGGATGGAGGAAATAAGAACAAAACCTAGCAAATACTATTGCCTTTGTCTGGGCCGGCGAGGTACCAGATATACCTCATGTGACCCCGGCATTACTATTGGTGGTGATAGTGTTTAAATAATATCAGAAACCGTGGCCTTTAAATTCCTTGGCAGGAACAAAGGACTCCATCTATGAACGCAATAGTCGATGACTTTGTAAAAGACATTGACATGGTAGACTAACAGCCAATAAGTAACGTAAAAAAAGCTTGGAATTACGACAACTACTTAACATCACGACGCAACTGCCCATTCTGGTATACAATATAAACCGGAACCATTTAAGAACACTGGACGCGAAAGTCACTAAGACATGAAAGTGGGCTAGCAAAATCTGTAGACCCATCAACGTTGTACAGGAGTCGAATAACTTTGGAAGGAAAGTAAAAAGAACCTCAGAACTCTACAAACACCTAAGAGTTACCAAAATGCATGTCTTGTCAAAATCACAAGACGAAATCGTTAGATCCCTTCCAAAAGACAAAAATTCATCAGAGCTCGAGTCATGGCTCCAATTCCACAAGAAATTCATGGTGGGTACGCAGTCCAGTAATCCGAGTTGGATCGGGAAATGCTAGAAGACAGACCGACAAAGAGATAACAAAAATTTTCCTACAAGATGAAAACGAGACTTATGAAGTGCACGCAATGCACCTAGAAATGCGGCATGAATGGTTAACTCTAGGAGAATTTTGTATTCCACCAGCTTTGAAATGGCGCACACATTTATAAGATTGGATTGGTATTTTTTTTAACTTAACGCCTTTCAATTAACTCTCCCCGATCAAAGCAACCTAGTAAGATGGGGAAAAGCTTCAGAAAAGACTTGTACGATGTGCAGTGTGCAGAGGCAGAGTCAGGCACTTACTGACAGGTTGTAAGGCGCTATTAGACCAGGGTCATTATTCACGTCGCCATGACAGGGACATTACAAATCTTACGCGAAACTATAAGTTTATAAAAAAAGGGAATAACAACAAGCATAACAACTAACATCGCGCTTGCAAAGTAAGGCTCAACAAAAAAAAAACACAAAAGCCGTACTCAATTATAAATACCGCCAATGATTTGACATTATTAGTGGTGAAAATACTGGAGGATGTCTGTGCCCTCGGCGTTCAGACCAGACCTACTTCTTTATGCAATTTCAATTAAGCGTGTAGTATTACGAGTAGTAGAACTCACGGTGCCGTGGGATATGAACATCCCTAAAGACCACGCTTTAAAAAGAAACAAGTACTTTGAGTTAACGAACGAAATAGCTAAAAATGGTAATGTCGTTGCGTTGTATGCCGTGGAAGTGGGTGCGAGAGGTATACCAGATAAAACCATCTATAACCTGCTTAAAGACCTTGGATTACCAAGAGCTTCAGCAAGCTCTTTTCTTGAACGAATATCCAATGCGGCATTACTAGGCTAGTTTGAAATATGGTTAGATAGAGGGGGTAACACAGCAGACAGTGGAGGTGAGCGCTGACGCGTCGCAAGGAGTATTCCCTAAACCTATACCTGGGTCGCAAGTCCCAGGCGCTAAACAATACGAGCACTAAAAATTAAAAAACAATTATATCATAAGTAAAAAACTATAAAAAGTACCCTCAATATAACAGGTAACATTATAATAGCAAGAGTCCCTTCTAGTCTGTTTAAAGTCGGTTGAAGTTTAAAGGATTTTGTCCTAAAAGATCCATTTTTCGTAAAAAGTGGACACGAAAGTGCACAAAAATCCATTATGGATCTTTTTAATGGATTTTAGTGGACATAGGGGATAATTCAATATAGTTGTAATAAATCTATTTTGAAGGACGAAAAAGAACGCCGGTCTCGTTTGCGTTTTAAAATACAAAACATGCAAACATATCGCGGCAAGCAGCAAATTTATACCTATAGGCATATGAAGCGAAAGGTACTCATCCAGTAATCTTGATATCTGGACAATTACTTCACCTATGCAGATAAAAATGGGCAGAGAAATAGTTTGAGTATGAGACATCAGCTTAGAATAGATTTTGTGACAGGGCCAGATTAAAGGTCCTTTTAAGTGTGTATGAAACTAAGCTCTCACGTTTTTGTACTAAAGAACTGAAATTTAGCATGGAGATATTTTTAGGTAGAACACGTTGACATAGAACCAATTTAACGATAGGCTCGAATTAAGGATGTCGAAGAGCTATCGCTTGGTCATGTTTATTTTTTTCTCGTATTTGAAATTTAACAATGAGGGAGGGTCTTTACAGGTAGTACGCCAACTTAATTCATATAAACTTTGTGACAGGGCAGGATTATGAAGTCTGAAGGTTTTTTGCAAGTTTTTGCAAAGATTATGTTTTTTTTTTGTACAAGACCCCTGCAAATTGACAGGAATTTAGTTTAAGGGTAGGACACTGCATACAATGGCCAGGCTCCGTCCAGTCGTTTGCCCGGCTATGCCTTAAAAGGGCCTTTAGTGCCTCGGTGGCACGGTGGTAGTATATGTAACTGCTGTACTAAGGTCTCGGGTTCAAATGTTTGTATGATCTGCAAAATATTTGTTTCGAAGTTTGGGTGTTTTCTATGTATAATGTATAATATGTAAGTATTTAAAAAAACGTATTTAAGTTTTCTATCAATCCAACTTTCATAGTACAAGCTCTGCTTAGTTAGAAACTAGATGGCGTTGTGTTAGATGTCCAAAAACATGATTATATTATTTAGAAAAAAAACAGTAGTAAAAGTCCGTGTGGTGACTGATTAAGAATACAGAGTATCACCACCCCTATTCATCCCGTGGGCGTCGTAAGAGCCGACTAATGGAAAAAACTACGCAGAACAACTGCACTGCAGAGAGAAGGAAAACTTGACACAAACCCTATACCAACCCGTCTGGCCAGCGTGGTTTAGTAGGCCAAAACCTCCTTTCTAAGGAGAGGCCTATGTCTAGTAGTGGACTATTAAAGGCAGTTTATGTGAAGAAAAAAAAAACAAATTGTCTATTCAACGGTTAAATAATGGTTTGCCTTATTATTAACATATTGTCTTAGAAAATTATGTGTTTTGAACGTATAATTTTGATAAATACAGATTATATTTATAACAAATGCACAACAATACTCATAATTTAGCTGCTATCACTAATGATAGTGAAATGAAAATAAGAACTTACCTCAGGAGAGTCGAACGGGTACTTATTTGTGAATTTGAATTGCAATACAAATTTTTCGCCTTCATATAATGTGCCAGGAACGCCTTCCATGTGTACTGTCCACCTAGGGAAAAAGAGAAAAAAATAACTAATAAAAGATGAAGATACAGAGAGTTACATACCTTATCTACAACCACTTTTAGTCGGCAAAAGTCTTAGTGAAAGTGTAACGACCCTAATTAATATTATCTCATTGTAGTTTTTTACTCAGGGACTTTTTTTATAGGAGAGAGAGATATATTTGATGCCTTTGAGGAAGGAGCTCGCTCTTTTCTTGAAGGTTTAAAGGTCGCATCGGTCCGGAAATACCGCAGACGATAACTCGTTCTACAGGTTGGTTTTGTGAGGCAAAAAGTGTTTTGAAAAGCGCACACTTTTTATTACTTATTTCTTTACTTTTTTATTTAACTAGGAGGATACATGGTACTCCGTAAGTTAAGTTTATGTTAACTAACTTACTGGAGGGGGAGGCAGGTTTCCCGGCTCGGCCTGAGTACTACTACCACGGCATCACAGAGAACCGCTGTTAAGTAATTATTTTCTTGCTTTTGATGGAGTGAGTGAGGTTACAGGAGCCTAAACTCTCCTCCCCGCGATTCTACGGGGAGAGACTCAAAAGGTGACAACGCATTTGTAACATTTAGGTTACAATTGTCTGTCTATGAGCGGCGGTAGTCACTTACCGTTAGGCGACCCGTCCCTTTGTTTGCCCAACATTGGCTACCATTATTTTTTTCATTACACACATTACAACTATTTTTACAGGTTATGTACCAAACACAATAGTGTAGTCATTGCTTGTTAAAAATATGTATAGTACCTATTACAGTAATAATAATAACAACGTCGAACATCCCACACACGACCGTCCGATCCCAAACCAGGCACTGCCCGCACAGCAGCAGCCAGACCACCGACAAACACACCCATATACACTGGTCAGCAAATAAACCGAGCCACCCGCTACCTAGGAACTCTGATTCGATTTTCTCAAAAAGTATAAAACTTACAACTATCAAAGTTATACCTACAAAAAGTGCGTTTCATGGTGATTAAAATGACTAAAAATTAATTCGAAAGTACCGTCAACTCACATTGTAATCAAGCAACAAACACAATGCTAACGGTTTGGTCTGTTTTCACCAGAGTTTGAAATTAGCGTTCTTTTTCTCTACAATGAGGTTAGTCGGATATTTCTTATCATTTCTTTAGTTTTTGTCCATCGTTTGCTCAGACGCGTGTGTTTTTGCTACTTTTTTCGATTAATAATGGATACAACACCTCAGGAAGCAGCTCAAGCTGTAGCATTACTTCAAGCAGGCATTGCGCAACGTGAAGTCGCTCGAAGGCTTCGAATCAGCAGATCTTCGGTGCAACGAGTTTACAGACGATACCTAGAGACTGGAGCATTCGATCGCCGTCCAGGTACGGGCAGACCTAGGGCTACATCAGCAGCAGATGATCGTTATATCCACCTTACTGTTCTGCGAAATCGCCACCTCAACGCAGTTCAAGTCCAACAAAGTCTGCGTGACGAACGCCAAGTGGTCATAAGTTCAGATACCGTCAGAAGGAGACTTGCTGAACGGAACCTGACCCCAAAAAGAGCTGCAACAGGCCCAGCATTAACGGTAGCACACCGTCGAGCACGACTTGAATTTGCTCGAGAGCATAGGGATTGGACATTAGAGCAGTGGAGTAATGTTCTTCTTCTTCGTGAGTCTACATGGAAGTGATCGACGTCAGAGAGTATATCGTCGCCCTGGAGAACGTTATTCTCAGTGTTGCATCGAGTAAACTGTTGCTTATGGAGGAGAATCTGTAATGGTCTGGGCGGCATCTCGTTAACAGCACATACAGCGTTAGTTTTCATCGAACCGACGGGCCGTACACGTGGACTGACTTCTCATCGCTACATTACTGAAATCCTCGCAGACCATGTGGTACCTTACGCAGGATATATCGGACAGGATATGCAATTGATGCATGATAATGCACGGCCTCATGTTGCTCATGTGGTGACCCAGTATCTACGCGACGTCAGCATTCGTACGATGGACTGGCCAGCTCGAAGCCCGGACTTGAATCCGATAGAACACTTATGGGATGAGCTGAAACGTCGGGTTCGAGCCCGGGTACCTGCTCCAACAAGGCTTCCAGAGCTGCGAATCGTAATTGAAGAGGAGTGGAATACAATTCCTCAAGATTTTATCGTCAGGCTCGTAAGGTCGATGAATACAAGGATGCTGGCAGTTATCCGAGCAAGGGGAGGGAATACGGAATATTGATCAAAAACTTTTTTTGATTTTATCTTTGTTTTAAGCTTTAATTTTTTTTTTTCACTTTATCATTACTAACGATTGTCACGACTGGAAAACGACTCTTCTTTGTAAAATCCTTAATAAACACTGAAATATTGATTAAACCCAATGAGTTTCCTTTCATTTTAATCACCATGAAACGCACTTTCTGTAGGTACAACTTTGTTAATTGTAGGTTTTTTAGTTTTTGAGAAAATCGAATTAGAGTGCCTTGGTAGCGGGTGGCTCGGTTTATTTGCTGTCCAGTGTATTTCCAAACACAGACACCACAGACAGCTCATCACACAACTACTCGTCCTGGGCGGGAATCGAACTTGTAGATTCCACATACAACGAGATGTATAAATGAATATAATGCACAACGTGATTAGTTGCCTACTGCCTACAAATAGCCTCTTCAAGCACAGAATTGATACCTATACGGGTACGCGCATTTGGCCTCTTTGAGCTATTAGTTTCAGTCCTGCTTCCGACCCGATAACCCCCTCCGTTTACCTACGCTAAATGTTTCTTCTGTCTTTGTATCGTCTAAAACAAGTACACCAGTTTTGGGATCAGGAAGGAACCCGGTTATAAAAGAAACCAGAAGAGCAAATTCTCGTAATAAATGTTCGGTTGTAACAGTGTGGTGACTGATTAAGAATACAAAGTGCCACCACCCCAGTTCGTCCCGTGGGTGTCGTAAGAGCCAACTAAGGGAATAAACTACGCAGAATAACAGCACTGCAAAGAGAAGGAAAACTTGAAACAAACCTTATACCAACCCGTCTGGCCAGCGTGGTATAGTAGGCGAAAACCTCCTTTCTCAGGAGAGGCCTATGTCCAAAAGTGGACTAATAAAGGCTGTTGAATGATAGGTTCGGTCACAATTCAGTTCGGATCAACATTCAATCTCACAACTGTCATAAAAGTTATTTTCGAAGTATTAAACATCCAACGTCGATTGTAATGTTATTATATCGTATTGTAACTGAAAATGGAATGGGTAATCTACTAGTCTAGATAATACATTACTATTTGCCTACGAACGATAGAGTTGATCGGAACTGAATTTCGACCGAACTTTTATTAAGAAAAATAGCCTTCTGAAAAACATTTTGTTACAGGTTGCGATGACCTTAATTAAAATTAGGATAAGGACAGAAAAATGATGATGTTACAATAGAACATCCAAACTATAAAAAAACAATCTATTGGGAAAAAAATGTGTAGAACTACCACAAACACAGATGACTCACAATACATGTTTCTGCAGATGGTTTCTTGGTCTCAATTATTTTATGTTTGACATATTATTATATACATGTTATTACATAATATATATACATAATATACATTATTAATTTATTTATTTATTATAATTTATTTTAATATAAATTATTAATTATATAAATTATTATTTATTTATTTATTGATTATAATTTATTAATTTATTATAATTATATACATAAGCATAACAAATGCTCCCTGGACACACATGCTTATAGGCTCGAATAGATTATAATTATTATCAATAAAGAGATTAAAATTGTGTGGTGTAACGAGTTTAGGGCCTATAACACGACTCTACGAAAAAAAATTCGTTCTTTGTCCTAACGTTTATTCTAGTATTTTCCGGTGTAAAGTTTGCTTTTGTGATAGTTATAGTAATAATACTAATTTTTCATTTTTTTTATAAATTTTAATTAATTTTAATACTTTCTTTTAGAGTGGGGTTTTTACGTTTACACAGTGCCGCTAGATGGCACTCGAGTGATAAACAACGATCAGGTGTTTTTTACAAGTCCAGGATTTGGCAAGAACCAAAAGACCATGTTACCGACTGCTTCTTTTGCATGGTGAATCCGAGTAAAAGACGTAGAGGTAAAAATGCAAAACCTATTGAATATCCTGACCTCGAATCTTCTTCCGCTTTAATTGCTCACGACCCGACACGACCAGTACCTGAGCCACCAATAAAATTATCGCAGAAAAGTAGCTCATCTCTTAGTTCTTATGAAAGTAATTCCGATAAGGATTTTTCGCCTACACCTGAACAACCAAAACACCATCTCATTACTACAGAAGATTTTAACGACCTAATTAGAGATTTAAATTTGCCAAAAAATAAAGCAGAGCTTTTAGGATCTCGCTTAAAACAGTGGAATCGGCTTGATGATGTTAAGATCACGGATCAGCGGACTAGGCATGAAATATTCTCAACGTTTTACGAAAGAAGATGGACTTTGTTTTTGCAATGACATTAAAGGTATGTTTGAAGCAATTGGCATACCCTGTGTTCATTCATTGACAGCTCTACAAACTCAACTGGATGAAACTTCAGAAACTTTTGAATACTTGAAAAAGTTTTTTCCAAAGTTATCGGAAGCAAAGGTTAAAGCTGGGGTTTTTGTTGGTCCGCAAATAAGACAGATTTTCGCCGATGAAAAATTTCCAACGCTGCTAAATCGTACTCAAAAAGCAAGTTGGAACAGTTTTAAAGCAGTAGTTTCTGGATTTTTAGGAAATAACAAAGCTGAAAACTACGAACAGTTGGTTGAGGATATGCTTAAAAATTTTTAAGGCCATGGGCTGTAGGATGTCATCAAAAATACACATGCTTCATGCTCATTTGGATAAATTTAAAAACAACATGGGAGAACGTTTTCATCAGGACATCATGAAGTTTGAACAACGCCAGTTTATCAAGGCCAGTACAATGAAAACATGATGGGCGACTATATTTGGGGTTTAGTTAGAGAAA